GCCAGCTCAAGCCGACAACATCCCCGGGAACCTGACCTGGGAGCCGGCCAGCAAGAACAGCGTCCTCCTCCGCTGGCAGGAGCCCAAGAACCCCAACGGCCTCATTCTCAAGTACGAGATCAAGTACAGCCGGGAGAGCGAGGTGAGGAGGGGGCTGCTGGGGGGTGGGGCAGGCGGGCAGAGGTCCTGAGCAGCTTCTTGGCATCACCCCCCCCCAACCGCTTTCCCAGCCACCCTCACCTCGGCTTCCCCGCAGAAAGTCATCTCGGTGGTCTGCGTGTCCCGCCATCGCTACGCCAGCTACGGCGGCTACCACCTCGCCCTCCTCCAGCCCGGCAATTACTCCGCCAAGGTCCGGGCCACCTCCCTGGCAGGAAACGGCTCCTGGACCAGCCTGATGACCTTCTACATCCTCGGGGGAGGTGGGTGTCTGAGCCATCGGGCTTTTCTCTAGGCGCTTTTCCTCCTGGAAGAGGGGGGGGCTGATCGAGGGGCAGGGGAGGCCTTGGGCCCCGGGTCTGGTGAGTGCAGCAGCCCCCCCCCCACTCCAGTGTTGGCAGGGGGTCTTAGTTCACCAACCCCTGCAGTCCAAAGATGCTGCGATGTTCCTTCCTGCTTGCGTTTGCTTCCCTCTGCCTCTTCACTTGTGAGAACTGGGCGGCCTGCTTGGTGGGCTCCAGCTCCCAGAATTCCCTGGCCAGATGGGCCATCGCTGAGAATGCTGGGAATTGAAGTCCAGACATCTGGAAACTGGCCCACCAGCAAACAGGACAAACGGGAGCAGTTAAGAAGGAGGCAGGTAGCCAGGTTCTGTCGTTTCAGCCACCGGTGAAATTAACTACCCTTGGAAAACATAAATAATAGATGGATAGAGAATAGAGATAGATAGATAGAGGGAGGGAGGGAGTTTATAAGACTATAAACAAGAGAAAGGTAACTTTAGGATTAAATTCTGTAGTCCTTTTACTTTAGGAAATAATTGCCAGCCATTTATAAATGTAATAGAACTTGGTAAAAATGGTTTAAGCTCAAATAATTGTTCCGCAGCTTTTAAGGATCCCCTCGAAAGAAAATCCCCCGGGGGGACGGAGGGGGAGTTTCCCCTTAAGTTTATTTCCCCGACTTTTGCAACGGACGAAGAGTTATTACCTCTCCCTTGAAGCTCGCCTAGCCAGCGGCTGGGAGTGTGTTGTCAAACAGAGGGAAAAATAACAAGCGTGCAAAAGGTTTATTTGGCCCAGTGAAGGGGAACGGAAGAAAATATTGCCTAAACAGGTGATTAGACGGGGGGGGGGGGGGCATCTCCAGCAATCTCCTCTCCCAGGGGGAAAAGCAAATCTTCTCCGCGGTTTGTGTTCGTTGGTTCGGTCAGTCGGGGTGCGGTAATCGCTCTCCTTTGGCAAACCCCCTTTCCAAGCAGAGGAAGAGGAATCTGGCAACTTCTACCTGTTCCTGACGCTCACCCCGGTGGTTCTGGTGCTCGGCATCACCTGCCTGGCCGTCTTCGTTTTCTTGTACAATCGGAAGAGGTAGGGTGTCCCTTGCCCGAGTTTAGGGGCTCGCCGTTAAACGGCCAGGCGGGGTTAAAAACAGGGGCGGGTTTCTTTGCGGCCGAACCCGAGAGCCCCGTTGCCATCCCGAAAGCGGGGGGGGGGGTGCCAAGTGCAAAAGTAGGGTTGGACCCCCTTTGAAATGTGCCGCCTGGGGGCAGCCGTGCCGGTGGGCGGCTTCTTCCTCTGCTGAGCGAGGTCTGCTTCGTCCAAATGGCTCAAGCGACGCAGGAGCGCCTGAAAAAATGCCAGGCGCCCCCCCTCCCTGAGCCCTGAACTTTGCCCCCCCCCCTGATCTTCGCTGTGCAGGAGGACCGAAGGGTACCCCAGCGGCACGCTCTATGCCTCGGTCAACCCCGAATACTTCAGTGCCTCCAACAGTGAGTGAAGAGGCAGGGAGGGGCGGAGGGCTGGGGGCTCTTGGGGGACACCTCCGGGGGCTCTTTGGCAAGTGTCCCTGCCTTCCTTCCTCCCCCCCCCCCGCTCCTCAGTGTACTTCCCTGACGAGTGGGAGGTCCCCCGGGAGCGGATCACCATCCTGCGAGAGCTGGGCCAGGGATCCTTTGGGATGGTCTACGAGGGGATCGCCAAGGATCTGGAGCAGGAGGGCGAGGAGACCCGGGTGGCGCTGAAGACGGTCAACGAGCTGGCCTCCCTGCGGGAGCGCATCGAGTTCCTGAACGAGGCCTCCGTCATGAAGGCCTTTCGCTGCTACCACGTGGTAAGGGGCAGGCGCCCGGAGCAAGGGGGGGGTCCTTCTTTCCCGCCAGGAAGAAGAGCGAGGGGGCGCCCCCGAAGTGTTGGGGGTGAAAGAAACGCAGCTGGGCTCTCGTTCAGCCGCCCATTTTCTGCCCATGCCAGCACGGGAGGGGTGGGGGGTGGGGGGGGGAACTCCTTCCAAGGAAGGCAAAGGCCTGCTGGACTCCTGCTGGACTCTGGACCCGTCCTGGAGAGGGGCCACAGGGCGGTGGCTTTCCTTCCCAGGAAGCAGCCCCAGCTTCCCAGACCAGACATTTCCTGGGGACTCCCCTCCCTTGGTCTCGGCGGGTCTGAGCCCAACAGCTTTTCCAGGGCCCGGAGGGGTCTGGCCTGGGACTGGCCGGGGTCAGGCTTGGTAGGGCCCCTCCAATGCCGGATGCTCTCCTTTGTCTTCGGGGCCTCCAGGTCCGCCTCCTCGGGGTGGTGTCCCAAGGCCAGCCGGCTGTGGTCATCATGGAGCTGATGACCAGGGGAGATTTGAAAAGCTACCTGCGCTCCCTCCGTCCGGAAGCCGAGGTGGGTCCCCCCGCTCCCCCCCCCCATAAGGCTCAGGTTGCAGGCAGGGGGGCCTTGGCTGGATCCCCATGGAGACTCCCTGGAGCAGAGCAAAGACTCCCAAGCGCTGGCGAGGACTTCAAAGCGGTTCCAAGCGACAGGGAGGGAGGGAAACTTGGTCACCACGTCCAGCCACGCTTCCTTGTGGAGCCTGGCTTCCGTCAGCCGCGACTTTCCCACAGCAAGGAACTAGCGTCTGTCATGCTCCGGAGGCTCCCTGAGGCCCAATCATCCCTGCACCCTTTCAGTTCCCTGTTCTGACCCCCCACCCCCGGGGCCTCTCCTTCCAGAATAACCCGGGTTTGCCTCCCCCGTCGCTGAAGGACATGATCCAAATGGCCGGAGAGATTGCCGATGGCATGGCCTACCTCAATGCCAAGAAGTTTGTCCACCGAGACCTTGCGGCTCGCAACTGCATGGTGTCCGAGGACTTCACCGTGAAGATTGGAGGTGGGGCTGAGGCGGGGCAGGGGAGGGGAGGGCGAGGGGCTCCCCACGGCAGCCTGGGGCGGCTTGGACATTGCTTGGAGAAGCTTTGACCTGTGCCAGCCTCTCCTCTCCCACTCTGCCCCTCAAGCTCTGCTGGCGTTTGGCCCTCCTCTCAATGGTGTCTTCCTTCCCAAAGACTTTGGGATGACCAGGGACATCTACGAGACCGACTATTACCGCAAAGGGGGGAAAGGGCTGCTGCCGGTCCGCTGGATGTCCCCCCAAGCCCTGAAGGACGGGATCTTCAACACTCAGTCGGACATCTGGTGAGCCCCTGTGAGCAGAAGCGGCCGGATAGGGTGGCTTAAGGTCAGCCCAGCTCTACCGCAGGGGGCATGAGTGCTGCCAGGGTGGTCCGTCGCCCAAAGGGCAGAGGGCACCCTTGGAAGGAGACCCCCGGCAGGGCTGGCAGTGCGAAGCTCCTGCAGCCAGAGCAGAGAAACCGGCTGGGCGAGGGTGCCCCTTCTCAGCCCCCTCTCTTTCAGGTCCTTCGGCGTGGTGCTGTGGGAGATCGCCACCCTGGCGGAGCAGCCCTACCAGGGCATGTCCAACGAGCAGGTGCTCCATTTTGTGATGGACAACGGGGTCTTGGAGAGGCCCGAGGGCTGTCCCGACAAGCTGTGAGTGACTCCCAGAAGGGTGGCTGGGGGTGGGCAGGTGGCCTTCAAGGCCGCGCATCCCTGGCTGGAGAGAGGCGGGAAGGCAGAAGCCCAGCCCCGCAGACCCCCCCCGCCCCCCGTTCCTCTCCTGCCTACTCCGGCTTCCTTCTTCTCCCCGCCAGGCACCGCCTGATGACCTGGTGCTGGCAGCAGAACCCTCGACTGCGCCCGTCGTTTGTCCAGATTCTGGAGAGCATCCAAGAGGACATGAGCGCCAGCTTCCGTGCTCACGCCTTCTTCTGCAGCCTGGAGAACAAGCGCAGCAGCTCTGCGGGGGCTCTGGACCTTGAGACAGACAAGCTGCTGGAGGAGGAGGAGGAGGAAGAGCCCAAGCCGGCGGCCCCAGCCCCTCCCTGGCCCAGGCCAGCCCAATGACTGCTGCCCGCCCAGCAGGGAACCACGCCTCTGAGTCCGTCGGTCGGTCGGGGGTGGGGGGCTGTGTCCTGTGCTGCTGGCCCAGAAGCACCCCTCCAATGCCAGGGACACGGGGAGGCTGTCAAGACGAACTGCTTTAGGGCGCTTTTTTTCCGGAAGGACAAAGCCGGGCCGGGTGGGCAGAGGCGGACTGGCACCTGGGCATGAAACCCATCAGCTTGGATGTGGGCAGCGAACCTCAGGCCCAGCAGCCAGGTGGGCTCACCCTCTCCTCCACGTGCCAGGCTGCCAGGTGGCGGGTTGGGGGCTGTTTCCGGAAGCAAGGCAGAGATGGAAGTTTTTATTAAACTGTTGAAGGGACCCCAAAGAGCAGAAGCCCCCCTTGGTGTCTCCCCTCCCCCAGGCGCTCTCTTTGGCCAGCGCAGGGAGAGGGGCCCCTCCTGGCTGAACTCTGCCCCCAAGATGTGGGGAGCCACGGGAGGAAGCCAGCCAAGCCCGGCGTCCCCTTTACAGCATGCAAATGGAGCGATGTCCGAGAGGCCGGTGGACTCCAACGCAGCCTTTCTCCTTTGCCCAAAGGGAGCCGCGGGTCTCCCAGTCTCTCACTGGGGAGGGTCGTCTTCCTGCGATGCCCCCACCCTGTTGCTCGTAGCTTTCCCTGGAGGGACCAGTGCTCCCTTTGGCAAGGGGGGGAGGGAGGGAGGGAGGTCCGGAGTCCAGGCTTGCTCCCCTCTCTTGGCAGCCCCCCAACCCCAAAGTCTGGCCAGGCGTGTCCGCTGGCTCCCTTCACGGAGGGTCTCTACCCGCCACCTTTTTCCATAGTTAATCTTGGCCCAAAGGCACCGGCCATCCTGGCTCTCGGTCCTCCCCAGTTGGAGGGTGCAGGAGAGGCAGCGGCGAGCAGGCGGAAGCCTTATCGGGCTTGTCTTCGGAGTGGGGGCGACGGCGGGTAGTGCCGCACAGGGGGCACATCGTAGTGGCTGGGGATGTGGCTGTTTTTGGGAGAGTCGTAGTGGTTGGGGGGCACGGCTGGAGTCCCCTGCGAGACGCCTTCTGCTGCAGCTGAGAGGGGGAGAAAGGAGGATGGGGAGGAGGGGAGAGGGAGCTACCAACCGGCCCCCCCCTCCACCCTCAGGCACCCTCCGCCATGAAAAGCCCCTCATTGCCTCTGAAAGGCCCGAGAAAGATTTTCCCCCCTCCAACCCCCCCCCCCCCCGCATCCCTTGTGGGCTTCCCCTCCCGCCTCGTCCACCCAGTTTGATTACGATGATTCTGACCACCTTAAGCCGATTGCTATTCGCCTCCCTTGCGTTGTAATCTCAGGGTGTGGGGGCCACTGAGCGAGTTTCTGTTTTGGAAAGACCGGCCAGGCCCAGAAAGGCAATAAACGGAACTCAGCCCTCCAGACGGAGGCCTCGCTTCTGGGTGTGAAAAGCCGCTCGGGCAGCCAGGACGGGCGGCAAAGTGAGGGGGCCACCCAGCCTTCCCCCCCCTCACCTGAGCCATCCTCTTCCTTGGTCTGGGAGCTGCAGGAGGGCTCCTCAAAGAGGCTGATCTCCCGCTTGGAGGGCGGGGGGCACTTCATCTCCATGTAGCTGCCCTCGGGCACCTTCCCCGCAGGGCCCGGACAGTCCTTGATGGTGGCGTAGGGGTTCTCGCTGCTGAGGGAGCTGTCGCTGTGGCCCCAGGGACCCTCCTTGGCGTGCACTAGGGAGGAAAGAGGGCAGAGGGCAGCCCTGGCACTTGCTGTGCCCTGCAAGCCCGCAACTACTCAGGGGGGCGGGGAATGGGGGCAATGCTGGGGGACGTCCTGGCTTGTTTCGGTGGGCCAATTGGCGACCTCGCATTCTCCAACAAAGCAGGACCATCATCGCCTGCAGCCAGTAGCCCTACCTGGACCCCCCCCCGCAGCAGCTGTTCCCTGCCCAGGGGTCTCCCGCAAGCCCCCTTTCTTGACCTGTTACCTTGGCAGCGATATTTTCCGAGGCCATCCGTGTAGCTGCAGCTCCGGTCAAGGTAGCCTCCCCCTGCAGAAGGGGCAGTTGGCCCAATTAAGTGGGGTGTAAGGGGGTGGGGGGGTTGAGGTGCGCCAGGAGCAGGAGCTGAGCTGCTCCGAAGAACCCTGTTTTTGCGGGGTCTTTCCCCATTTTCTCCAGTCTTCATGAGGCCTCCGGGGCCTCTCTGGAGGGAGGCGTTTCAGAGCCCACAGGGGCTCGGCTGCCACATGGCCAGGGCTCCTGGGCTGCAGAAGGGCAGCGATTCAGGCCAAGGATTACCGGGGGGGGGGGGGGGGGGGGGGGGGGGGGGGG